TCTCTCTCTCTCTCTCTCTCTCTCTCTCCCACCTCACTGGTCTACAATCTTACCTTCCTTGTCCGGGAACACCAAATCTGTTCCAGAAGCCTAGAGGAGAACACTGGTTACGACAAACAACTATCCACCACGTAAAAACCAATCCAACGACACGCAAATCATCATCCCATGGGGGCTGAAAACGATACACTTCGAGGTAATCCGTCTGTTAGTTCGAACTCCGCGACGCACAATCAAAGGAAACGCGACGTGCTAACTGAATTCTTGCCTGGGCGAGTGATCTGGCGGGAAGGATGTGTGTGTGTGTGTGTGTGGCGTGTGAGGAGGCTCCACGCAAACCAGGGAACCGATACCGCCGCAGTGGGTCGGTCGGGCCGAGCCGGGCCAGCTGGCGAGGGCAACCGGGCAGAGGGGAGGAGAGGAGAGGAAGAAGAGGAAGAAGGGGCTTTTGGTTTGGTGAGGACGTCAATGTCTGACTCCATCATCGGTGGTCCAGCAAAGACAACAGGTGAGAGGATCGACGGACTCTTTGCCTGACTCTTTTTTTTTTTTTTTGCAGAGACGGATGTCCCGTCCCGATTGTTTTCTTTTCCTTGTTTTTTTTTTTTTTTTTTTTGGTAAGTGTTTTACGGCGCTCGCAACTGCATAATGTCATATGAGCGCACGGGATACACTAAACATTTTTCAACTGGTAAGACATTTTCGGTCGCTACCCGGATTCGAACCAGGGACCTTTGAGAATGAGAGTCGAGCACCTTAACTTCTAGGCCACGAAAGCCCCCTCTCGTTCTTACATTTTTAGGCGGGGGTGGGTGGGAGGGGGGGATACGAATTTTACGTCCCATCAGATACCAATAAGCAAGCTATTGTAGTTTCGAGAGGCCCGCTGATTTAGGCGCATTATTTTTTTTAAGGTTTTTGAAAAGCTTTAACACATAATATACGTTGCATTTGACTTTTCGGGCAAAGACCTTTTTTCAACGCATACAAGTAAACATGCACATAAACACACACACACATACACACACACACACA